AACTCATTGAAGGCTCGAGCCTTTACACAAGGTTCGATTCGCAACTCGAGCTGAGTCGAAGCTCAACTCTGCCGCTTAGGGCTCATATGCCTGCGATTTATGCCTTTTTAAAATTAAATGTCATATATTAATAAAAAAAGTATGACTGCATACCTTACATGATAATGTATTGTTCACCATTGTAAAATGACACTATTACCAACTAAAACGCGGCCTTTTTGTCACTAAAGGTGTTTCATCTCTAGGCAAAGCTAGTCTCATTTTCTCTAAGCAAAGTATTAGCCGTTTCACTAGTACTTTCAAAAAATAGGTTGGTTTCCCTTACACATTTTTGAAAAACAATAGAAACCTTATTAATCCCCCATTGATAAACTACGAATACATTTAATAATATAATTTAAAGTAGAACTAATTCTTGTAGTAATTCGTGTAATTATATTAATAGTAAATGTGGGTAGTTTCCAAGACATTAATAGCACTGGATCAATGTGTTAGGTTTCCTGTATAATCAATTATTATGTAAACTTGCTATAAAACATACAAAATTGCAATATTAATATTTTATCATAATAATGGAACCATAATAATAACCTAATTAGACGATAGCTTGTAAAAAGTAACGTGGGGTTCCGGGCGTGCTAAAATTTTCAGAGATTCTTAAACTTTGTGTAAAATATTTTGAGAGAACTGAAATCTGAAGACGCTTAATAAACGAAGCTTGAGCTTCGACTGTAGTCTTCTCTTTAGGGCTTTTTAGCCTTTAAGAGTCGAACTCTTAAGGCTCGAACCTTTAGGACTTGCGAGCCTTTAGAGCTGGAGGTTTAAAGGTTCTGTAGATTCGATTCGGGGTTCGAGCTTCCGACTCGAAGCTCATTTTTCTCAACACTAAGTTTGGCGTGACTATGTGTCGTATTTGTAATTAAGCAATTGCTTAGAGTACCCGGTCTTGATAGTGCCCCTCAGAAACAGCACCTAAACCAGAGAGGTAAGGACGTTTGAAAGTCTGCGTGTATTGAATTTTAAAGACACCTGTCAAAGACGATGGAAGAAAATGCCCATTGTCATTGTCCAGCTTATATATTAGGTCTTTTCCTATGAAATTGCCTTTTTGTATGCAATAAGTGAAAGTACTTATTTTTTCAAACTTTTTATTTCTGCTATTCGAAGTAATCACCCATGCAATCTACGCATCTTTGCCAACGCATTGGCAGTTTATTGATGCCCTTCTTGCAAAAATCAGCTGGACGGGAGGCAACAAACTCTTCAAAGGCATTTTGTACTGCCTCTCGGGAATTGAATTTGTTACCCACTAAAAAGTTGTCTAAATTTTGGAACAAGTAATAGTCGGTAGGTGCAAGGTCTGGTGAGTATGGCGAATGAGGGAGAGCTTCCAACCCCAGCTCTTGCAGCTTGGAGACTGTCTGTTGCGCAGTATGGGGTCGCGCGTTGTCGTGAAGGAGCAGTGGGGACGACCGATTGACAAAAGCTGGTTGCAGATGTGCAAGCTTCTCCATCATTCTCTCCAGTTCTTCACAGTACGCATTAATGCTTAGTGGGTAAAAAATTCAATTCCCGAGAGGCAGTACAAAATGCCTTTGAAGAGTTTGTTGCCTCCCGTCCAGCTGATTTTTACAAGAAGGGCATCAATAAACTGCCAATGCGTTGGCAAAGATGCGTCGATTGCATGGGTGATTACTTCGAATAACAGAAATAAAAAAGTTTGAAAAAATAAGTACTTTCACTTATTGCATACAAAACGCAAATTTCATAGGTAAAGACCTATTAGTTATATAGTTTATTGTCCAGCTTGATAGTCCAGCTCCTGAAGTAAGTCTGATAAAAAGTTCATGCTACAGCTACACGCTTGGCAACTCTGTACAAGTGTCCACAAACACAAGTGCGTGAACGGGGTGTTTGGTTTGGCTTGCGTGAGCTTCTGATCCGGGCAAGTATCGGTTTTAACAAATACTCATTCTTGAATAAAATAACCAAGGTCGATGAAATTGTGTCCTGACCAAACTCCAAACTAGAATCACAAGACCTTAATACTTATTAAAAACCGAAAATCAGATGTTCTATTATATTTAAATGTATGTCATTCAACAATAAGTATCAGTGTTTTGTCATGCCACGCAAAAATTTACGTCGAACTCACTCACAAACATACAAAATATCAGTTTTAAGAGTCGTCGTAATCGTATTATGAGTATTGTACAATATATTGACTGACATGGAGCAATGACAAATGGCGAAACGGTTTACAACAATTTAGAAATACTGAATTGTACAAAAATGAACTTGAACCCAATTTTTTATTTTGAACACACGTATTTTGAGGAGATTTTGTTTCTTAACTTATTTTTAGTTTTGTCAGGCACTTTAACTAATTATAAATGTAATCGTTTCATGTATTTTGTTTCTGTGATGGATCTTTTATTAGAGTTAAATCTTCAGTCGATTCTGGGTTTTGATGGATATTTATCAACCTTAGTCTTGGGTAGTACACGTACGATGTACTGATAGGTACTAGTACTGGGTATTGTACTAAAAGTAATGTTTCCGAAAGGCAGCTGTTAATCGGACATTTTGCACTATTAGTACACAGTGTCAACTTCAAGCCAGTACTAAAACTATCTATTGTTTACTCTGTCTACTAGTGTCTACGTTCGTTTGCTGTGCGACGTACTATTAATGCTCCGCTTTATTGTTCCGTATTGGTAGACAGTGTGAGAGTAAAAGGGACAGCGATACAGGTGTACTACAATACGTTGGGTTGTAAAGTATGAAGGAAAATCAAATAGTATGCTTAAAAATTTAGTGTAAAGTAATCTAAAATATCGTATTTAAAAATCAAACTGTTAGGTTTTATGGGATTCAGAAAGGGATAACACATTAAAAATAATCAAGAACTGTGTAATTATTTCTATACTGAAGAAAAGTAACTGCCTAATACAAAGCCTAAATCTATATTTTAAAAAAACTATAACACTTTTTTTAAATTACGTATTTTAATTTATTTAATTATTAGTATTCCGTTTCATTTTTGTTGGTAATATCAATACAAACGCATTAGTTTTCTACTTCTACTAAAACCGTAACAGTACTATTAGTACTAATAGTACTATTACGGTGTGCTAGTACGTTGTACGAATTGTACTAGTACGGTGCGAACCTGCAGATGTCCGATTAAGCACAAGACTAATCAACCTTGCCTCTGCCTGCCACTTGGTGCAAAAAAGTAGGTAGCTAATGTAGGGCAGTGTGGTATGTGAAATTCGAGACTAAGGAATTGGTCATTTGATAAAGCCAACACTAGTTTTGTCAATTCTTCCCAACTGAATACTATATAATCTTATTATAACACTTGTAGTTTTTTGTACAACTAGGACACCTATTTGAAACAGAAAGTTTAAAGAATCAATTGATATTGATAAGTAGAAAGCAAGGTTTGCTGAACGAGTTTTTAGTTTAATTAAATAATTTAACTTTTTTTTTTAATTTAATGACCTGGTAACTAAGACCTTTAGGTCAAGTCTTATTTTATTTGAACAAACATTGCACTTTCACTTTACTTCATTTTAAAGTTGAACGTCTATAGTATAGACGTGTGTATAGTATAGTATTTAATTCGTGTGTATAATGCTAGTATAGACTATACTAGCATTATTATACACACGAATGAAAATGAGTTAGGGATGTTCGATGATCATTGTTGTTAAAAGCTAAAGCTGTTTCAACCTTGATGTTGCATCACACAAAACATCGTTACATCGATGCATGGACATAAAATCGAAATTTCGTCGCGGACACACACATAATCGAAATCTATCATTTTTATGAAGACACAATAGTATCAGCCACATTAGGAGTGTATAATTTTATACCTGGTTCCCCGGCTATTAGTACCCGAGACGGCGTGCGGTTTTAGTCGGTTCGAGTCCGACATGCCACCGACAGGTGGTATCCGAGGGGATTTCCGCGCGAAATAAAAAAAGGAGTGTATGATTTAACAGAATCGTATACCGCTGAAAACATTGCAAGGGTTGCTGTTACTAACTTGCGAAGAATAGCTGTTAGATGCAAATAAAATATTGGCAGTGGTGACTGATGTTGGAGCAAATGTAGTGAAAGTTTATAGAATATAGTGAAAGATATTGCGTTTGGCAGAAACGTCCGTCATTACTTTGGCCCACTTGCTCAAATTATTGGTGCTTGATTGCAAGCTTGATTGCACTCGTTTAAAGAATAGACACATGGTTTAAGCAGTGTGTTGCAGCAAATGATGATAATCCTAACTGAAACTGATTACTTTAAAACTGCGTCCAGCTAATAACCAAATTTTAAACTGCCATAACAGTGCTCCTCCAATTGTAAATACCAAACAGATAGAATAACTGAATGAGATCGCAACTCAAGAGGCATGCGGAGAAAGCTTTGTTACCAGCTGCAAAGTTATTCCTTTAACGCGAATGCTAAATTTGTAAATCGACGGTCTGCACCCAAAACACGGTTGAATTTAAAAAAAGACATGTTATTTTATGGTCGTTTTATTTATTCATCGCTGACATCGATGTTTCTCGCTGATCGAGTATCGATGTTCGGCTATTGATGTCATTCTCGATGCCATCATCCATGTTTTTGTAAAATCGATCATCCCTAGAATGAGCGCTGCGAGCGGCTAGAGAATGACGTAAGAAAAAGCGATCGAGTTCCTCACTCACAGTCACTTCAATCACTTTACTTTTCATTCATTCATTCTATGTATACCTTCTACGACGTGAGGACGCGAAACAATTTTTCGATAGTTATAATTTATTTACACTTAGAATTAAGTGGATATTAGCTGCGTACAGTCTTTCATTACCGTGTCTACCTTTATCTATTTTTTGAAAAGTTTGTGTACTGTTACGCAGTAATCGCACGTGACTAAAAAGAAATTGTTTATATTACAACTTTGTAGATTCCTCAATTGTGTTTACAATTTATCTAAGATTTTGGCAATGGCTGGCAAATTTTACTTCGTAGTAGCGTTAATATGTGTGGTGCCTATAGTATACGCGTGCAACGAGGCTATTTGTGCCAGTGTTGTATCAAAGTGTATGTTAACACAGTCTTGTAAATGTGATTTGAAAGACTGCTCTTGTTGCAAGGACTGCTTCAGCTGTCTTAGCTATTTGTATACTGAATGTTGCAGTTGTGTTGGTGAGTATGTTGAAATCAACAAAAAAAAAAATTCATAGAACACAAAACTTGACCCATAAAAATGCATCTGAAAGAGAAGTGAACTTCTAGTATTCTGTTATTTCTGTTTTTTTTTTGAGAGGCTTTATGTTAGTTGATATGAATAAATGAGTGCTTATGAGGTAACCATAAGCCATGACCAAGAGTCTTTGTACTGTAATTCATATCTTCTGAACCAACTATACTCCTAGAAGTATATCCTATAAACTATGAAAAGTCTTATTCTTGATTACTTCAGATAAGTTATTCCAAAGTTTGGCTATTCCTCTGGATTATTATTCTTATTCATCTTTAGTACATATAGTTATGAGCACTTACATTTTTACATAAGTATATTGATAATGTAAAACTAATACACCTTTGTATATTACAGATATGTGTCCTAAGCCAAATGACACACAGACGGAACTATCTAAAACTTCATATGTGGAAGAGTTGGCAGATGGTGTCCCCGGACTGTTTGCAGCACTCACCAGTGACCCAGACCCTCAGCAAAGATGGTTATCAATTACTTACCCTGTGGACATTGATCTGTCTGCTTACAGGCCTGTGCCCGAGAAGCAATTAGTTTACCATTTACGTAAGTCAATTCTTTGTTCTCAAGTTACTTATAATTTGCAGTTTAGAAAATTTAGTCTAGAATTTCTACTAGTTTAACCTAAATACTGCAAGTTTGACTTTTACCAATTTCGCTAGTAAATATTCATCCATAGTATAGATCATAATGGTATACCATTTTGTGTACTAACTTTTAAACTTTCGCGTTCCATGATAATTAAAATTTTCGACCAGGTTGCACCGGCCGTGGTCAGTCAGCCTGTGACCACGGCCGGTGCAACCTGGTCGAAACGTCAGGCAAACCAGAGGTATGTAATACCCTAAATAAGAGATTGCTTTAATTCCCGTTAAAATAATATTAATTACCATTTTGTGGTTCATGAGTTTGTACTTTAATACAAGTAGCCTTTTCTTACTCAATAATATGTTATTTTACAAGTGTACCTTATTATTGTGTAAGAAAATAATGTTAATAATAAAAAGTCTGGTTATGTAACTCTATCAGAATATCATTTGATTTGAATATTTTTATTGCAAGTGTCCTTAAAAATATCAACTTTATGAGGAATTTTTTTACCATTGGAGTTGTGTGGCTATGTACTAATGGTACTAATAATACCTTAAATCTAACCGACACTCACTAATGTGACTCTCAAATATAGAAAAGACTTCTATTAAAAATAAAATAAACATCTATTACTAAACCATAAAATACTGTCTCTGTGTTAAATAGTAGCATTCACAGAAATGAGGTTGTAACTACTTACTAAAGCCTGTTTGCTCATCTTAAGCTAGCTAGATATTTAATTTAACTTTTAAAATAGGTTGTTTTTGAACAGAAAAAGCAATCATAATGCTATAGCTGTTTGTTAATTAGTATACAACTAGTGATGTGACCGAACACATTCTTAATTTAATTTAGGTAAAATTTAAAGCAAATTTTTATGATCAGATATATCATAAATTTTGTCACAAAGAAGTAAAAAAAGGTTAAATGTTAATTTTTTACATCACCATTTTATCTAAGCAATCATAGAATGGTCAGTGAAACCAGTTTCTTTACATGCATATGTTATGTGCTTTATTTGTGTTAATCAGCTATACATGTATTGTATCTATGTTTGTATGTAATTACAGGAAGTATAGTATGTGTAAATCATATTATAACTAAATCACAATCAAACACTTGTATGCTTAGAACAACTAATTTATTTGCATTTGGAATTAAGAAAAAGGAACATATCAGATTACATACTTGTTTTAAATATTACATTATCATGTTTCTTTTGATGTTAATGTTAGTGTGTATTTTATTTAAATCAGTCTGACACATCAGGGGGCTGCCAGGTGTTCAATAAATGATAATAGGTAAATTTATTTGCATCAGATTTACGAGTTTTACATTATGTATAAAGGAGAAGAGACCTTTGAAAACACCATTAATTTTACTAAGAATCTTCTAACTGAATGAGATTTTTTTTAACCAACTTCTAAAAGGGGGAAGTTATTATGGTCAGAAGGTCCATTTGTTGAGGAACCATAACATAAAACACAAAAATGAATGACAGACAGACGAGGTTGCGCTAATAAACAATTATCATCTATACTAATATTATAAAGCTGAAGAGTTTGTTTGTTTGTTTGTTTGTTTGAACGCGCTAATCTCAGGAACTACTGGTCCGATTTGAAAAATTCTTTCATTATTAGATAGCCCATTTATCGAGGAAGGCTATAGGCTATATATCATCACGCTAAGACCAATAGGAGCGGAGCACCAATGAAGAATGTTTCAAAAACGGAGAAAATTTATTACTATTGAGAGACGCAGACGAAGTTGCGCGGGTCAGCTAGTAATGAAATAAACAGAATAGGAAGTCAAGGCTTTTTCTTAGAATACAAATTCGTATAAAGTGCTTTAGCGACATGGATAATCATAGATATACACGCACACGAAGCAGCATATGCATAGTATGAAGTGTACTATGCTATACATTTCCTGCACAAAAGTGTACACTACACTACACATTGCGTGTTGCGTGCGCATTTCTTTTTTCAATCATGACTCGTCTTTTGATAGGTGCCGAAATTGCTACAAAACCGGCAGTACACTTAACAAGTTATTCGTCAGCAGTACTAAGAATCTTTTTTACGAGCCAAGGATTTTATTATAGCTTTCGGAATGTGCCACCCAATGTGTCGGTGCGTGAAAAGAGCCAGTTTCCTTCGATAAGAAGTATTCTCCGAACTTTTGATAACAAAACAAACAAAGAGCAACAGTTATTTTCTTTAATATTATAACTACTACAGTAACCAATGTTATCAATATTAGGCTGATTTTTTATTATTGTGCGACAATTGCTTAATCCCATTCATAATAATAGGACCATTTGCCACGGCGTTTGTAAGAAACCAAAAGGGCCGTCCCGCAGAGAGATGAAGTGAGTCATTAATTTGGAATGTAAATGTTACCTGCTCTGCAGAGTTATCTTTAAAGATCGATATAACAGAAATTGAACGAAGTGTTTACATCATTCAACACCGATCCCGTAGCTAATGCTTATGTTAACTTTATTATGTTATGTGTTTGAGTTAGACAGAGTTGTTCATTAGTATATTTTCTCAGTTTAAGAACGCATGCAGCCCTTGATGACGTTTTAAATACCACGAGTCACCTGATTTATCTCATCAAAATTCTTTGATCATTTTTGTTGTATGCGAATGAATGTTTAGACAAAAGATCGTTCCAGTGAGTATTTTTAGACCAAAATAAGCCGCCTGCCTCAATTAGAACCAGATAGGTACAGGAAGAACGAAAAATATACCAAATCGTTTTGCCAAACCAAGCGGCCGAATGAATTTCGACTAGATTTCATTTCTTTTAAACATATGTATAGATTAGCTTCTACTCGTGACTAGTGTTCACGTTCATGACAACCCTCTCGTAAGGAAATAATAGGTACTGTTTGTCGGTCACATTTAAGATCAATCCTCCTCATCTTCAAATAAAAGTTACTATATTAAAATAGTGAACTTTCGTCTGCGCTAAAGCATTTAAGGGGACTATTTTATGACCTTAGAAGTTGATTATAACTTTCTGTAACTTAATACATGTTTGACAACTTTATCCATTATTTGTAATACATTGTATTTTCTCAGATTCCATGTACATTATATAATGTATTTCAAGATGAAGTATGTATCATAATTGTAGTGATATTTCTGTACTGCAGAGAGCGTGGAACAGGAATCGGAGCCCGTGAGTCGTGATGTGGTGACACTTAACTGCACCGTCGCGTATATGTCTCAGTGCATGTCCTGTGACAAGTGCCGCGCTTCATGTCGCTCTATGGGCGCCAACAGCCTCAGGTACACTAAATACTAAAATGTGTAAGTATATTATTACTGTGCACTATATGGTACTACGTTCTAGACTGGGGATAAAGAACTTTTGTATATATTTGTAAACACGTAAATCTGTTAATAATCCTACTCAGACCATACCAAATAAAAGTATGGTGAACGCCAAAATATCAAACTTTGATATGTATTGCATACTGGTATGTGGCATTTCTGGCCACACAGCTATATTGAGAATAGAATGAAGACTTGAAGCTTGGTCATCAACCCAGAAGGTTGATTACAGAAGCGCCCAAGAAGTTAAAAAGTGAGAATAACGATAGTTTATAAAATCTCTTTGTGTTATAAATCAATAATATAGCAGCCATCTCCAAATACAAACATATCATTTTATTAGAGAAGATTCCTCTCTCTTAGCCAAGAGTTCGAGCACGATTATTATTGCTATAGTGTTAAGCCCGGTATTCTGGAACCCGCTAACAGGCATGCATATCCTGGCCCTGGCCGTATCTCTCGTTCTCAACGTGATCTGGACGTAGCACCTATAGTAAAAGAGTATTTGTTAAACGAGCCATGTCACCACTCCGAAAACTTTGATGGTATGGGACAATTATTATATGTTAATATTATGCACTGTGGAAACCATTGGATGCGGGTAGCACAGGACCGGTTGTTGTCAAGAGTCTTGGGGGAGGCCTATGTCCAGCAGTGGACGTCTTTCGGCTGAGATGACGATGATTGATAAAATTGATAACATGTACCATGAGAGAGCAATGAATCCATTACGGCTCGACCGGAGTGATACGATAGCCTCTCAGGAAACCGGTTTTAAACAATGCTACCGTTGCATCACCGAGTGACTTCTCAAAGGCCCCGAATGGACTTATGACTTTCCATCTTGACATTGACACTTTCCATCAGGGACCCTGATTTGCTATATTAAACAAAAAAGAAAAGAATTATCGACAGTGCTAGTTGTTACAACTGAAGCTGTTTTAGTATTGGCAATAATATAATCATCGTGACTGCCTCGGTGGCGACTGATGTGCTGAGGTCTCAACTTCGATTTCCGGGTCGGATCAAATGTTTGTATCATCTGTTTGGATGTTTTCTATGAATAATTGTATGTATTTACAACAAAAAAGTAAATAAGTATTCTATCAGTCAATCTAACTTTCATAGTACAAGCTCTTCTTAGTTTAAACTAGATGGCGTTGTGTGTCAGTTGTCCGAAATATAATATATCATATTACCTTGTTTACATATTACAGATGGTTCCATGACGGCTGTTGCGAATGTGTCGGAGACAAGTGCCTGTATTACGGCATCAACGAGAGCAGGTAACTTACACTTTCTTGCGTAATTTTACTTTGTTTGATGATAATTAATTTTCAATCGTTATTTATATCGCTAAAAGCAATGTTATTGTTAACTAGCTGGTAGCCGTGACTTCGTTCGCGTGGAATTTGAAAAGCGCTGCCTTAGAGGGTTCGATTCCCGGACCGGGCAAAATGTTAAAGGGTTTTCTCAGAGAAAAAATAGCCTAAGTTACTCCTTATAGAGACAGCTACCTAGTAGTAAAATATTATCAAAATCGATCCAGTCGTTTAGTAGATTACCCGGAACAAACCTACAGATAAAAACTCAGACTAGACTCATTGCCTCGCAGTAACAGGCGCGGCTGAAACCCCGATGCAATGCGTCATATATGGACAATCCTAGTCTACTCGCAATCATGTTTAGTATGCAGTTGGAGCTGACCCGCACCCTGCGCACTAAATAAACTAGAAAAAAAATTTCAACCTATTTTTACTGTTGAATATCCAATCTTGAATAAAAAAATTGGATGGAGATTATATTTTCTATATAAATTATATGAAATCTACTGCAAATTTCTAAAGGCGTCTAGTACGAGGGCGGGTCAATAAGTCCGTGACTTTTGGAATAAAACACAGATTTTTTGATAAATAAATCATTTTATTTTTCAACGTAGTCTCCCTTGAGCTCTATACATTTTGTCCAACGCTTCTCCAATTTTTTTATCCCTTCCAAAAAATATGATTTGTCGAGGTCCTCAAAATAGGCCTTTGTTTGCGAGATGACTTCATCATTGGAGTCAAATCTTTTTCCACCAAGCCATTTCTTCAGGTTTGGGAACAAGAAGTAGTCAAATCTGGAGAATAGGGCGGATGAGGGAGCAATTCATAGCCCAATTCATGGATTTTTGCCATGGCATCTGCACATGTGTGCACCCTTGCATTGTCTTGGTGGAAAAGAACTTTTTTCTTGGCCAAATGAGGTCGGTTTTTTTTCAAATCGTCATTGAATCGGTCCAATAAGTTGGCATAATATTCCCCATTGATTGTTCTTCCCTTTTGAAGGTAGTCAATGTGGATTATCCCGCGTGCATCCCAAAAGACAGTCGCCATAACTTTATTGGCTGACAAACCCACCTTGGCCTTCTTTGGCGCCGATTCACCCTTAGAAACCCACTGTTTTGACTGTTGTTTGGTCTCTGGTGTGTTGTGATGGATCCATGTTTCGTCCACGGTTACAAAACGGCGCAAAAACTCCTCCATATTGCGATTAAACAACGCCAAACCTTCCTGTGAAGTTGTTACGCGATTGCGTTTGTGGTCGACTGTGAGCAATCGCGGCACCCATCTTGCGTAAAGCTTTCTCATGCCCAAGTGATCATTCAAAATTGAAACCACTGAGCCATGCGAGATCCCTACGGCTTCCACAATCTCTTGCACTTTCAATCTTCGGTCGGCCAACACCATATCGTGAATTTTTTCGATTGTTTCGGGTGAAGAGACCTCAACTGGGCGTCCAGGACGTTCGGCATCTTCAGTGCTTGTACGGCCACAACGAAATTCAGTAAACCACTTTTTTACCATTGAAATCGATGGTGCAGAGTCCCCATAGTATTTATCAAGCTTAGCCTTGGTCTCGGTAATGGTTTTTTTTCGCAAAAAATAATGCTTAATAAGCACACGAAATTCACTTTTTTCCATTTTTTCCTCAAATTACTGGGTAGTCTGATAAAGATAGCTGTCAAACACAAACTAACTGACGCAGCAAGTTCAAATTTTGACAGGAGTCAACTGACAGATGCCTGTTGACAGGAGTAGTGTTGCTTTTTCAGTAAAGAGGTCAGAAATTCAAAAAGTCACGGACTTATTGACCCGCCCTCGTATATTATGTTGGATCAATATGTACGAAAAGTTTATACAAAGACAGTTTAAGATATACAGTTAATGAACGAGCGATCGTGTATAGAAATTTCCTATCACAATAGGTCGACTATTTGTGGACTATTATATTAACCACATGTTATTATTGACAGACGGACATGCAAAAGCACGAGTAATCCTATTACGGGTTTAATTTTGTCAGTGTAACGTACAAAACCGTAAAATTAACAATTACTTTGAAAATTGAAACTAATGTATGTTGGAAGGCGTATTTGACAAATTATTTCATAATTAATAATAATACCTAGTTGTATTGTATGTGGAATATACACTGGGTTGAAAATTAATCTCAGAGCTCCTGACAGAGTCTACAGATATTACATTAAATCCGCTTTGCATAGGTATACGTATCATGTTACTACCAGGTGTTGCCAATTAATTATGTATTTTGACGTTTTAATGACATATTAATAAACTAGTGTATATTCGTTTTATTGATTACGTTTTAAAATTAGTCACACAAGTATAAATTGTCAACGCCTATATTTATCATTTATAGTAATAATGCAAGTGCTGTTTTTGAGTCTTCCTTCATTTTAAATTCATTTCTAAGTACTTCAATACGCTGTAAGATTAGTTGATATCTGTGACCTTTTTTTAGTGACGGGGTGTAAAATCTCTACAGATCTCCGGCTCAAGAGTCCGGAGTGAAACATGTGGTGTTTCCATTAAAAATAACCCGACGATCGGCCTCAGACACCCTACTCTGGAAAGGAGCTGGATTATGTGTTTTCCCTCCCCCTAGGTCTACGTTAGCTACGCTAGCTTCAAGACACGATACCTTCTTACTTTAGCTCATCTGAAAACGATTAGATTTCCAAGGTGGACAGTAAAAAAAAACAACTAAAGCTTTGTAATGGTACTCATTGCGCCAATCCCAATTTCCCTAATTAGAAAAAGATCAGAGAAGGATAGAACAAAATTGATAATGATGATAAGTTCTTCGTATTCTAATTATGAATATGTATAAAACTTGCTAATTAATTATCGCTAAGTTACAGATGTCGTTGTATTTTACATGAATTTAACATTAAGTGTCTAGTTAAATAGACAAATGTATTATATCAGCTAATAAACACTAAAAATTAATAATATTGATTTTTTCCAGGTGTCTGGCATGTCCCGGTGGCAAAGACACAACTGTAAACTCGCTCGATGAGGACCTGACTTATGACGACCTTGATTATGGGGAAGATGTTGACGCACAGTCGGTATAACTTCAGGAACAAAACATAAAGTAGCAGAACAAGTGTTCCATTTTGATTGTCAAGATATCTGGTGAGAGTATTGCCTGTTAAGATGCTGTGGAACAAACGATTTTTTTTATTATTTTATATTAAAGGATTTCTTTTCTGAAGTAACGGAACGGGCAGTCTGAAAAATTAACTGAACTTAAGTGTCACCAAACATCGTTATCAAATTCTTCAGTTAAAACATCAGTTCGAGAACAATTTCTTCAGTCATAAATTATCACGGCCATTGAACAAATGTGTTTCTAGATTATGTTTACGATGACAAAGTAGCTATTTTTTCTAATATTTATTACAGAGCTATACACAGCAAATATTTGGTGAAGTCGTCGGAACGTTGCTAGTAAATCATTACTTCAAAATTAAATTTTTTTTTCAGTATTGCCAGTGATTTATTAAGTTTTCGATTAATATTAAAAAAAACTAAAGTCATTGATAGCCTCGAGTTAAATTATTAAACTACTAGCACTAAACTTTAGTGAATTAAAGTAAATATTGATTATATCTACTTCTTAGGAGTACAATAACGCTTTAAGTTTTAGATTCAATAGTTGCCATAGTAAAATTATATTATATAACAATTTATATCAAATCAATGACAATATTGCTTACAAATAATAATCAAATGAAAAAGCTATTTAACAGATTTCTTTAAAGGAACCGTCCCAAGATTATTAGTGTCTTCTGTTGGCTGTCATTCAATTCTACACTACAATCTTACCGGTTGGACTAAACATTTCACTACTTAAATAAAGTTTTGAGTTCTCGCAAACCGCGCTCATAATTAGTTACATTGAAACAAAACAAAGTAATATAGCTTTCAGGGCAGTATAAATGGGCTCCGTCAGGACCAGGCCAGGCTTGTATTAGTCAATCAGAATAGTCATAAAGATGACCAATCAATAAAACAAAAAATAATTTGAGATATCTTGAGTAAACGAGAAAATTATATCAAAGATCCAAGGCAATATTCGAAAATAATTTAACGTCAATATACGTTACGCAAAATTAGTTTGAATACGTTAACAGATATTCGAGTACTTTAGTATTATATGTACCTTTTAAATGAATGCCCAATGCTGGTCTATTTATAATTTATTGTTATTTAAGTCCATTTTTATTATTTTAATATTTAAGATCTAACTTAGTACCAGTTTCTTAATAGTTGCCTGTGAGTAAATTTGTAAACAAACATCTGATAAATTATGTAGTAAAAACTAAGTATGATAAACGTCGAATGTTTTTATATATATATATATATATTTGCGTTCATCAATTTTACCTTCTTATTAATGGGTTTTATGTTCTCTACCATAAAAATGAACTCAGAACTTAAGGGTCAACTCAAATCGAGCCGAAAAATGTGTGACCACTTTTAACATGTTACTAAAGTTTAAACGCTAACACGTTAACATAGAGCTGTAAATCGCTCGATGCTGTGCAGACACGTACATTATGTGCGTACGATCTACATATGATCATATGTATAGTAGGCCAAAACCTCCTTTCTCAGGAGAGGCTTATGTCCAGCAGTGGACTATTAAAGGCTGTTGATGATCTACATATGATCTGCGTAGTCAACAATGCGTCATTATTTTAAAAAGAAAACTTAATACGCTACACGTAAGTAAAAAAAGCATAGTCAACCATTTCCACTCTATCTGCGTTGACCTTTACTAGAGTTTAGAAACTGGTCATCAGTTCTTTTTTAAACTAACCTATTCCTATATTTCTTAGCATTATACTCTTCCGTCCCTTTACAATTATTATTATTTAAGTAGAAATTATTTTAAAACAAAATTAATTGTGCCTTCGAATTGTATTAGAAGTAAGTTAGTTATAATTTTAAAACTGTTGAGACGTGTAATAGAAACTCTCAAAGTGCCAAATGTATTGCTTGTACAAAAATGCCATTATTTGTTAATTTTTAATCAATTTCAAAAAAGGAAGTTTGCAATTCGATAGCTTTTTTTTATGTGTAGGTTATGCGATATCTTTGCCATTTGTAAACCGTTTTTATTAAATCTTTATTTAATTGTTTTGTAGTCAAGGTTGATCACACTAAATTATTTATTTAAAGAAAGAATGAAATGAAATAAACAACACCACACTATAATTTATCATGAAATAGGAGCATTGAAGTTTGTGATACTAACTGAAAACTTGGTAAAAATATTTTTTTTAAATAAAAATTAATATCGTATGATCTACCATTTAGCCTTTATACAGTTATGATCATAAATGTGTATGATTAAACAGCATTAAGCGAAAGTATTTAAATATCATATGCTTTCCCTTTCATGTATCAAAGTTTAAAAAAAATCCATTTCTTTTCTGTAGAACTTAAAAGTATTTGTTTTTTTATCATTTTTATGATATGTAGTCCACGACATAATTTGTCGTTTAATAGTCAATGCCTACGTATTACAAAATCATGTCATTTATTATTGTTACGAACCGGGAATTCGAAAAATAAAAGTTGGCGATTATTACCAAAATTAGCACTGGATTTTATAAACACACTTTTCAAACTAAAACTTAACTTTTACAAGCTTAACTCGTAAGTCGCATTAGAAAATCGCTTCGATGTTCGATGAAAACACTACTCGCTCATACGGCCGACACGCTCCGCTTTCATAGGACTATTAAGCGGCACTGGAATAATCCCTAGGATTAGATAGAGCGTTCCAGATAATAAGGAATTTACCAGTACCAATAATCTTTCTTTATCCGACATTAGATGGCGCTGCTAGTATCGCAATAATGAATCAACATTTCAACGTGTAGTGTTCGTTGTACCTTTTTTTTCCGTGCGGAAATCCCCTTGGATACCATGGGTGGCATGTCGGACTCGAACCGACTATAACCGCACGCCGTCTCGGGTACTAATAGCCGGGGAACCAGGTATACCCTAGAAAGGAAGTCCCTGGTGCAGTATTCGTTGTACTTTACTTTATACCAGATGACACGGTCTTTCAGATTCCATACAACTCTCGATTGTTCACGATCGAACTACACGGTACAAGAATCGTTTAAACCTATGCCGCAACTTTATTCGAAAGTTACATTCTCCATCTGTGTGTTATCTCTGACACACACACACATAAAAAATGTATAAAAATTGATAAATTAAAATATAAATACTTTTACCGGTAACCGGTTTTGTTTATATAACATAGCTGTACCATGCCACGTTTCGCCGTGGCACATTATGGTTGCAAAAAATAGATAAAACCTATCTGTAAAACGTGTTGTATATCGTGAATTTTTATACATATAGTTTAACATAAATGAAACTGTATGGAGCATACAAATATTTGTAACACGTGTAAAAATTATGAACTTGAAAAAGTCCAGCTTGACTGGGACCATTTCTAATTAGATTTTAAAAAATTGCCCAGTCTACGAATGGGGTTTTAAGCTTCATACCCATTAATACAACTTCTATTTAAATGTTATTTAGTCACTGTGATTCATTTTATTAACCGACATCAAAAAGGAGGAGGTTATCAGTTCTTTTGTTTTCATTTTTCGGACATAACTCTGTCATATATAGACGGCTTTTCAAAATTCTTTTTTCGTTTGAAAGGGGTTTATTCCGAAATGGTCCTATTTAAATTTCATATCGGTCTGATGAAAAGTTTCGGAGACGGACAACGGAACTCTTCAAAAAATCACAACACATCAACCGCGATTGCTGCTAGGTTTTTAGTCCTCTTTGTTAGTATTGTTTGAAGTCGGTTCAACTTTTTTAAGAAAGATTTTCTTATTTGAGAATGTTATCTTAAAATATTTCTTAAATTTATTCAGATATTAAATCACTACTAACTACTATCTACTACTCTTTGAGAAACATATAAATAGTTGATTTTAAAATTGAAATAACTATTACTATTATTAAAACCCAGTAACTCATTTCTGCAGTTTTTAAATAACTTATAACTGAACATTTTTGTTCTTGAAAAGATTTATTTAGTTTTTTTTTTCAAGTAGGTAATATTTCAAAAGTTTGACGATTATACCTCTTAAATTAACAGGGTTAACTCAGCAAATATACTTTTTCTTCTAAATTTGTTAAAGGTATATACTATCACATTTTTTTCAGGGATCAGTTTGCTTTGTAGGGATGGAGGAGAAACTTGATTGAAACGAAAATTAGCACTTTGAAATTTAATATTTCGTAAACGAATCACTGAATCAATAATATACATCCAAAAGTGAGATAAATTTATTATTAAGAAAGCACCATTCAACTGAATGCGTGTTCAAAAATCCAAGTTTCTCATATAGTTTACGGCCATTCTCATTTCCTTTGATACAGAATGCTACCACGGGTTTCCCCTCCTTCACTAATATATTACTGACCAATTTCACTATAAGTTCTGCATAACCCTTTTTTCGATGACTCAAGTGTATACAAGTTCAGTAAGGCACCTGATTCATTGAGTAAAACCCAGGCGATAAGTTTGCCGCCTTCGAACAGACCATAACCAAATTTCACATTAATCATCAAGTTTAAGTACCAACGTGAAGAATCGTAACGATATGGCCACTTCGAGTCAACTAGGTCCAGGTGTTCTGATGACAGAATACCAAATGAAATTCCCTCAGGCATTCTGAAATTAATAGAAAAATCTGTTATTAAATTAAAATCTTAACATGTTGAACCTATTTTTTAGGCACTTAACAATTATCAAATTCCTTAGATAGAAGTAAGTTAAAACAAAATAAGTTCCTTATCTTCTGAGAAGAGCAACTGTTTAAGTATGTTTAATGAAATTATTAACTGGAGGTGGACATAACTTCTTTCAGACAGACGTCATTTTCGGAGGACGACTCTGGAACACTATAGTTAAACCGCCGTAAGCTTGGCCCTCCTGATGGTTTGCGGGACGCGGGGCGGATGATGCGCGTGGCTATACATGACACGATGTACTAACTCGATATCTTCAGATTTATTTGTTTGAGATTTGATCTACACACGATGTAATAAAAATCGAATTTATTTTTATGTATTATAATGTCAGTGTATTGTAAGTTTTTATGATTAATTGTAAAATTTAATACTGTAAAATAGTTTTAATAAAATCACCTTATCTTCATCATGTAAATTATATTCAGATACAATTTAAAAATTAAGTAAAATAATAAATATTCTTTATTAAAACTTTAACAGTAGAACCTCTGTAAGCCGAACTTCAAGTTTTTAAATCTTTTTGTGACGCAAAGTCAGCAGATTATCCATGTTACAAAATAATACCGTGTGTAGCAGTCTTAAGAAAAGTAACACGCACTGCCATGCTTTCACGTCAGTCACTGCCGGCGGACAGCGACACACTAGCTAATTGGTTGAATGCACCCTCGCCCCGCATCCCCCAAACCATCAGGAGGGCCAAGCTTACGGCGGTTTAACTATAGGCAGGCTGTGCGTGTTCGAACATATTTTTGAAAATGACTCTTCTGGTAATTTTGCAAGGGTTAACGTTGAAAGCTATTTGAAAGAAAGAAGTAATGCGTAAAATATACCTACCTTGCAATTTTAAAAATAAAACCTTAGTAACTTACTCGTTCCCTGTAAATGTTGTTGGTTTATCATATATAAATGCGTCTGTTGACATTAATTTTAATTTAACATGCTCTCCTAAAACTCTCTGAACACACTGCCTCACATGGTAAGGAGTAAAAGGAATAACGTCATATTCCTGTAAATTTACTATTTTGGTTCGTTTTAGAGCGTCTTCGAGTTTTTCGGTGTCATCTTGAGGGCATAACACTATGATTTCATGAAAGGTATCCTGTAAAATAAAATTATCATTTTTGTAAGATCAGAGAAGTATGATCGTTACTCATTGAAGAGATTGTGAAGAAAAACCAGTCTAGAAATACATAGTATCCAATGTAATAATGAAAGTAAAGACTGTTATGCCTCCTACTTGGGACTTATTACAATACTTCTAGCAATTAAATTGTAGATCTGGTGTTCTACTTCAAGAGAAGTGAACTAAAAATGAAAAAAAAGTATATATATATATATATGGGCATCATGCCTCATGCCACACATTAATATCCTTTTCAAATTACTTTAAACCAAAAACGATTTTACAGTTACATAAAGTATATCTACTACATTTTATGTTTTTTTTTTATAATTAATAATTAAGTATTCAAACATCTTCATTTTTTTTAAGACTAAATTCTTATTTATGGAAACACGTATTTTACAAAATAAAACACGTATACAAAAGAAGGATAAATTAACACACCTTTACATTAACGGCGACCATTCCACTCCTTAGGTCACCGAAAGGACAATAAACTTTAAAACCGTAATTACCCCCTTTTTCGATTAATACTCTCTGAGTTTCCAGAACCGTGTAACCAGAGATACCTCGGGGCCAATCTGCTTTGAACATAGTCTGTAATTCACTCCACTTTTCAAAAGGTAATAATTCCAGTGGCTCCTGAGACATCGTTAGACTAGACTCGACAGGCACACGATATTAACGCCAGAATCTGTTACAAACTGTCGTTGTCCCCGTTTATATATAGATCTCAGCTTATCTGTACTTTGCTATCAATGGTAACATTTGAACAAAATTTTCACCATCACTTGTAGTTGATCCTTTAATCTTTACTAATTAGTATTTTATGTGACGCTTGTTCCGAGGATATGTTTTAACTGATTCGTATGAATTTCAAACGCTTAAGTTTGAAAGTACTACTCGAACTTCTTAAAATATTTGAGTGTACATGAATATTTCCAACATAGATATGGCATAAACAATAAAAAATGATGAGGTGTTTTTATAAAGAACTTCATATTTTGTTGATGATCCAGAACAGTTTTCAAAATACAGAATACCAATTCGAAACGCAGGTGTAATGCAATCTTTTGTAGGGTGGACCTGTTTTCTTAGTCCTAGAAACGTTCTATTTCGCCTTCTCAATTATAAAATCAGAGTATAGCCGAATAAAATGGATTGAGATTTCTAGGCATGCAAAAAAAGGCAAAATTTAAAAACAAAACTAGTCCAGCGACTCTAATTACTTAATTGATGCATTGTTTTGCTTAAAATATTTAGCTTATATTTGCTTAAAATTTATATTAATAGAAAATATCGCAACATACGAAAAGAGGTGGGGCTACCGGTTTAAGGTCAATTTGAAGACGACCTCGCGATCCTGCAACATCTGCAGACAAGTCAACGTTGTACAGGGACTCGAATAACTTTAGAATGGAATTAAAAAGAACTTCGGAACTCTACAAACATCTAAGAGTTACTAAAATGCATGTCATGTGAAAATCATAAGACGAAAGCGTTAGATCCCTTCCAAAAGACAAAAATTCATCAGAGCTCGATTCACGGCTCCAATTCCACAAGAAATTCATGGTGGGTACGCAGTCCAGTAGAGTTTGGGAAATGCTGGAACCAAACTGACAAAGAGGACAAAATCTTTCCTACAACTAGATGAAAACGAGCATGCAATGAAACTAGAAATGAAGAATGAATGGTTAACTCTTGGAGAATTTTGTATCCCACCATCTTTGAAATGGCGCGCACTTTTATACGATTGGTCACCTGACCTGTTAAAATTTTACCTCAACGCTTTTCAATTGACTCTCCCCGATCAAAGCAACCTAGTAAGGTGGGGAAAAGATGTAGAAAAGGCTTGTACGATATGCAGTGCGAAAATAGTTACAGCCAGGCACTTACTGACAGGTTGTAAGGCCATGATGGCGTATTACAAATCATACACGAAGCTATAAGTTTATCGCTGGCGAAAGGGAAAAAAGGAATAACAACAAACATAAGAACTAACATCGCATTTGTAAAGGAAGGATAAAAAAAAATACTTCACAAAAGCCGTACTCAATTATAAATACCGCCAGTGACTGGACATTATTAGTGGACACGTATGAAAATCACTACAGAATACCTCAGGATATCTGTGCCTCAGCGTCCAGACTAGCCATATTTCTTTATGCATTTCAATTAAGCGTTTCGTGTGAAACAACGAACATCCCCAAAGACCACGCTTTAAAAAGAAACAAGTACTTTGACTTAACCAACGAAATAACTAATAATGGTTATGTCGTTGCGTTGTATACCGTGGAAGCGGGTGCGAGGGGTATACCAGCTAAATCCCTCTATAACCTGCTTAAAGACCTTGGATTGCCAAGAGCTTTAGCCTTGCGAAATCCCTACTTCTGCCCATATTCGACTACTAATGTCAGTTATCTCGATATTATGGAGGAGCGACTCGATAAACTTGAGCGCCTTCAAAATTTTCACATTACTTTTAACTTTTTCAAAAGAAAATAATTATATAATGTGTACATGTTTTACAGATTATTTATATGTAATAACGTGTATGTATACGTATATAAGTAGTTATTGCTAGGACTGACTGCATTGTAATCAATACTGCTTTGTTGTTTATTTAATCAAATGCTGTTTTGCTGTATAAATATTTTATGATTCTTTTACATTTTTTTCCCATCAAAACTGCCCATGAATTCATCTACAGTCTATTTGACCGTTTATAGGTTGCCTTTAAGAACTTACTTTTTAGAGATAAGTTGCATTTCTACATGGTCATTACTGTCATTAGAATGTACTAAAGTGCTGGACAATAAAGTTTATTCTACTCTATTTGCGGTGTATCATCATCTTTATAAGATTAGCTTATTGTCACCTAACCTACATTTGTCTAACGATGACCTTCACTGTATTACAAGGCTTTTCTAGTTCTGCTTGTGTGTCCTACTTAACTAGACATCAAGGCATAAATTCTATGTATATTCAAAATTTCATTATGTACATTCACTATTTTAACATGTTTATTTCAATAAGGTACTACTTATTAATGTATATTTAAAATTGGTTTCATGTAAAAAGAATTGAATTTACTTGACCTTTTAGCGGAGGTAGTGGCTTACAATCGGGTAACCTATCTGCTTGTTTACCGCTGTATTAAAAAGTCATTTTTTTACATTATAACCAACCAAGTTATTTCAAGACCAATCAAGTTATTTTAATATATAACTATGAGCAATGAAATTATTATATACCTTGAAAGCAAACAGTCCGGAAACCTACGTTATGAGCTCAAATCTTCCTTTGAAAACGATTCGAGGAAATTGATATTTACAATACAGTACTTAGTTTAAATATTAAGTGAAAACGTTTATTAATACAATACATGTAATTGCACATTAGACTGCTACTAGTAATATGAGAAATATGTGTTAAGTAAAAGCATATCTCGTTCTCTCTCGGTATGATTTACCAGCTACTTAGAAAGTTTTGCGTCTTCGGTTTCGCACCTTTAAATGACTTTGTTCTTATTAAATGGACATACATATCTGTATTATTTACATTGCGAAATAAAACATAATTATTTTGTAAGTGTCACAAGTTACAATCTAGTTTTATAATTTACTTATTAACATTATAAAAATAAAGATAATTATTGAATTGTGAAATATTCGTCAATATTTATAATAACTACAATTACTCAAAAAAAAAATTTGAAATGGTTGGTTATAAGGCTCCAGTGAAATCGATCTTAAGGTACTAAAAATGCTAATCAAGAATTAACTAGATTTTAGTAAAAAAATTAGAACAATAGGCGGCACAAGAAAGTAATATTGTGCATTAGTTTCAGGTAAGAAAAGTTTCTTTATAAAATACAAAAATATTTCTACGATAGCACATAAAATAATATATTATTATAAATAAAATATTTTTAACATAGTTTTACTCGGGGTCAATAGATGTCGTGGCGTGTTTTTGCAATCACACAACATACTTTTTTTTGGAAGAATACAGTGAAGTTATTGCGATAAATGAAAAACTTAATTTCTTACTTCTTACGTGATGCGTACAAAATCAAACAGCTGCGTCTACAGATTGCTAATATATTGATATAGATTATAAAAATATACTATTTTTCTGTAATCTATATATATTAGCAATATAAACTGTGATTTTATCATCAAACAACAATAACCAATAGAAAGTCGTGGCATGGTACTATATTTAAAAACACCTTACGTGGAATACTCCATCTTGACTTAAATTCTCTTAATAATTTTCAACATTGTCAAAGTGAGAGGCAAACTTGCAAAAGATCTTATGGTGGATGAAATTAACCTACTTAGAACTCCCTACTCCTCGCTTAGTATTTAAAACCACATCCCCGTTTGCGGACGGAGGTCCTCACAACCCGAGAGTTAAAAATATCAATGATAAGAAATCAATCAATTTTATGATCTTTTTTTAAGTTTCTAGTGTTCAAAGTGTTTTCAATTTATTTTTTATTAATTTTAATTATTTTTTTAATTATTAATTTTAAGAATGTATATCAAACATTGCCTGTAAACGGCGAACAAAATACCTGGTCAGTAAATAGTACGAAGTACCTGTGATTTTAATGAACTATTACTAGAGAAATTAAACCGAATAACGCAGAATAGTTTTGAAACAATAATAATTTGCAAATGTATAAGTGAAGAAACGAGCAGAGTTATTTACAATTGACACGCATGTAACCCTGACCAGATATTTTATTTACCGTGTGTACATACAGTGTGTGCACGTATGCAATACAGTCAATATTGTAACGTATAAACAGAACTGAAAACTGTTCAAAACGGAAATTTTTGTGCATACAATGCTTAGCTGACTTTTTATTTTTATACCTACGTTATTAGAACCGCCATGGACTGGATTTCAAAAATAATACATGTTGACTGTGATGTAATGTAATACAAGACTAATTGGTTATTTTTATTTTACATGGGATTTATTATGTCCTATGTCCAGCAGTGGACTATTAAAGGCTGTTGATTATATGATGACATGGGATTTATTATTTTAAAAGGAAAACACTTTTTATTTAGAATTTATGTCAGAATCTCTTACATCGCCATAACTACCCGTACGATTAGTTTTTAAAAGTGCCTTTTTGATGTATTTTACTTTTTGTATACAATTTATATTTATAGAAAGTATTGTAAAATGTAATAAACAATAATTTCATATGAAAAAAAAAGAGTTATTTTACTTAATAAACCGTCCGACCGACTATTACTTTTTCCAAAATTTAGGCAACTTTTTAGTAGGTAAAAAATTCAATTCCCGAGAGGCAGTAAAAAATGCCTTTGAAGAGTATGTTGCCTCCCGTCCAGCTGATTTTTACAAGAAGGGCATCAATAAAATGCCAATGCGTTGGCAAAGATGCGTCGATTGCATAGGCGATTACTTCGAATAACAGAAATAAAAAAGTTTGAAAAAATAAGTACTTTCACTTATTGCATACAAAACGGCAATTTCATAGGTAAAGACCTAATATATATATTAATGAACTGTCATCAACGTCGGTCGCTAAGTATATTGCATACCAATTAAATATTTTTTTTACTATTAATCTAAACACGAAAAATACATTAAAAGTGACGTGCGCC